TTAATGTTTAATTGAACCTATTTACGATATACCTGTTCTGAGTACTGTGGCACTGCGACAGAGCATTGGCCCGAACGCGGTTAATATTCCGATTTGGCGACGGTAAAATCAATTATTTAATGTATCGCCGCTTTCGCGGCAAAACCGCGCGACTCGAATTTTCGAAATTTTTCGAGGGGAAGGAAAACCTGTAACGACGGTTGTCTTATCGTTTTGGAGATGGGAGTTTTCGGAACAATCCAATGTCACGAGCAAAATAAAATTTTGTTTATTCCAAAAACGTTTAAAATACGTGTCGAAATTCGAAACAACGATTTCTCGGACAAAAAAAAAAATCAAAATTTGAGGTTTTGCCATGGAAGCGGTTAAATAATATTGCGTTACGGGTTGACAATGATTGGGCATTTTTTAAACAATGCTCGGTCGTCTTATTTAATGCAAGGCGTTACGTGTAATGCCCGTCGTATATAGGGCAATACACATTTTGTAAATAATATTCAATTAATTAGAAACTTACATTAGGTTCATAATTTCATATTTATTTTACTAATTTATCATACTACGAAAATAAAAAAGACATCCTAGGATAATAAGAACGGGCGCAGCCACTGCTGTAGATAATTTAATGTGTACTTGGAAGCAACGATAAACTGTTGCTTACGAAAAAACGATTCGAGCGGAGTTCAGTTGATAATGATGCTGCGTCAACAGTATATATGTATGTCATTTTATAGTTAAACAATTAAATAGGCTTTGTATATTTTCTTTAATAAAATTTGCTTAATGTTGTACCGATTTTCCCAGTTTTCCTAAGTTTTTCTCGATTTTCCCATGCTTTACCCTGTTTTTCAAATTTGCTGGGAACACTCTTGGGAAAATCGAAAAATGACCCCTCTAAAGTACCTCTCTAGTGAAATTTCCTTTCAGAAACATTACTATCAATGTTGGAGTTTTTTTTTTTCAGTTTTTCAAACATAGTTGTAAAACTATAAGCTTCTTCGTTTCACTCAAATTCTAAAATAATCTTTAATACTCCAACGGTCATTATATTATATCGTCAATTCATACATTTCGTTGCATAGTTCCTATATGCGGTTGTTTATTTAAAAAAACAATTTTCCTTATTTATCAAACACCCCCTCCCCCTCGAGAATAAAATGAATGTTCGCCACTGTCTATGATAGATAATAATAAAATAATAACCATATTAACCAGCGTTCGAAATTTTCACGAACCGGAACGTTTACAAAACTAATATGCCATCATGAAGATGTTCCTAAAACGTGAAATTTTAAACGTCGTATGGACGTTCTGAGTTTATAATATAGTAACGACTAAAAGAAAACCTACTCAAGCGGTCTTAGTGATATTGCAACGTGATGTTCTAATAGTAATTAGCTGTAATAGCTAATAGACAATTAGAGACGATTGGATTGCTCGTACATTGCGCTTTCTACCATAAATGTATACTCTTATTTTGTTATAATGTAACACAAATGTTATATAGTTCACAAACGATAATGTATTTCACGTACCATCAATTTCCAGTGCTCGATATGATAAAATAAAAGAACAGGGCCATTATAAGACATAAAACAAAAAATAGCGCCCCTTGCAGTTATTGAACTCAACCCGGCCCGTGGGGGGCCCATTCACGTCTCACACTAATTTTCCAACTTTTCACCGACTTTGCTTTCTTAGTACAGGCTATATTAGATATTCTTCATTCTTCAGATTCGAATATGACGGTTACTACTATGATTCTATTACGGCGATTCGTTGGTTCATTTTCTGTAATCTTGCTCCAATTATCAACTATAGAAGCGATATGGTTCCTAGTAAAAATTGTTGTCTCGTTAATGCCATAATAAGGAGGTTGTTTTTTGATTTTAACCGTAGTATTTTTAATTATAAGTAAACCCCCAGAAAGAACGTCGGGAAAACTTGTGACTGTTACATTTACTCTGCTCATGTTTTATTCGATTTCGTTTATTCAATGAAAAATAATCGTAGGGGTCAGACATTTCACTGAATACTTTTATTATATCTTACAGCTCTTTTCAGACATGGCACCTTGTATCCTCCACTACGTCTCGTGCGTCCCACTTCAAACAAATAGTAAAGGGGCGCTTACATTTATGAAAAAAAACCGGTTGAGGTACTACGTCCCCCCTCAATTCGAGCACTGTCAATATCACGAGAATAAACTTGCCGGTGTGTTTCATTACTAAACATACGCCAAACAAATATCTAAACTTGTTTGTCAATATTTATATAAATCGACCGTTTCGAGTTAATAATAAGGCCCTAACAACCTACACAGATAAATCGTAACAAATTGAAACTAACGGAGGGAATAAATATTAAGATGCCATGATATACGTTGATGCTCGTATTTCTGTTCAAGCGAAAATGGAATTTAAATCATTGATCCGTTGAAGCATTGGTACTAATAACTGTGCGGAATTTTGTAGTTTTATTTGTATTTTTTTTCGCAGAGTTATCTTTCTCAGCAGTCTAACACTAATTCCACATCTTAATTATATAATATATACAGACATGTCCTTCAGTAAACCGCGTAAACGAACAAACAAGTCTAATAAATAAATGACAATTTTTAATTTGGGTTTGTAAAACTATAGTTAATAAAATTGACATGTTCGTTAACACGGGACGCACAGTTGGAGATTCGAGTTTTATTTAAAAATAAATCTTTAAACAGTGTCAATTTCAAGCGTTTTGTTCCATCGAGAAATAATCCTACGGAAATAAAGTAGAATGAGCTTGCAGTATTACATCATTAGCATAATATTACGAACTGCGGTAACATTAATAATTAGGCGATAAGGAAATTAAGATGAGAATAGGGGTGGGGTGGGGGGGGGGTAGGGCAAAACTTGTTTGCCGGCGAATTTCCAACCAAAATCGGTTTAATACGTTATGCCCCGCGACGAGAAATCGGAACCAAATATCCAAACGGTCAGTGTCACACACCGGTTTGCACCGGCGAGTTTCTCGATTGCGAAACGGAACACGTTACAGCCGCGACGTTACCGTAATACATCGTAACGATTCGATAACAGTTATCAATCAGTTCCGGCGAGTTTCTCGATTGCGAAACGGAACACGTTACAGCCGCGACGTTACCGTAATACATCGTAACGATTCGATAACAGTTATCAATCAGTTATCGGTGTCACGTCGCCGACGGCGAATCGTCGATGTTATTAATTTTTTTTTTTTTATACGCTCGTGTATCGCGCTCACGCGGAATTCGCGTTATCTGCTGGCCGGTGACGGACAATCGCGTGCAAAAAGTGTACGCCACCTGCGCCAGACGGACGGGAAACGGCGTAGCGCTAAAAAGACGTGTCCGGTTTTCGGTCGGCTTAATCCCGAAAATGCTGCGCACCGTACGCAACTCTCCGGTAATTGTTTCTAACATTGGATAGCGCGTGCCGGTGTTATTATTATTATTGTCGGATTCATTTTCTGCACCGTCCAAAGAGCGACAATACAGATACACGATTTGTTCGCAGTTTTTTTTTTTTTTTGTTTAACGCGCACGTTTCGCTCAGACATTTCTCCGTCTCGCCATACCGGGTGTTCTATCGTCGACCGCAGAGTGGAGGACTGCGACATTGTCGCACCAGACGGGTGTGGTGGAGACGAACGCACACTGAACGATAACGTCACATTATAACAATATTATTCTACCGCGATCGTGCCGGCCTATCTGTTTTGCCGTGGTACTTTTGAACAGTTTTATCTCCAAAGTCTCCAAAGTTTTACCGGTTCAACCTGAACCGGATCGGCTGAAACTCGAGAATAAGAGGGGTCTGTTTTTTCAATTTTATCGTTGTGTTGAAGCTACACAAATCCAGTCAAATTCAGATACGATATTCACCGTGACGTCAAGCCGGGAAAGGGTGTTAGTATACGTAAAACGCGCCTGTTTCGGCGGCTTCAACTTTCAACCCCTCTCCCCTCGACTATTTTTACGCACGGATTGTGTTTACGCACGGGAATAACTACCGGGTTACGAATACCCTTACAGACCCACCGAAGTATACTTACTACTCGGTTCAGACGTGTACAGGGCTCCGCTTTTCGTGCGGTTTTTTTTTTCCACTCGGAAAACGTTTAAATTTTTCCACGCGACGTACCTCGAAAGAGATGCGGATTTTTTTCGACGGACGGTCAGTTTTTTTCGTTGCGAATTTCTAGACCGCCGACAAAAAAAAAAACCGAAAACCCGAAAAAACGGAAACCTGACAGCAACCTGACGGCGATAATTATTTTCGTTGAACTCCCCGGTTGCCTTGGCCATGGCGCACAATATACGGCGCCCACCCGTCCGTACCGGTTCGCGTGTTAACAGACCCTACACCCTGTTTCGGACCCGAGTCGAATCGCATAGCCCACCGGGTTTTAGACGCGCCGACGACAAAACATATTATGACCACGTTGTCGGCGGCGCGAACGTGATGTTGCCGTGGTCCGAGCGAGTCGCTGTCGGAGAAAAACCGTAGCCGCGGATTCCGCGAACAACGCGGACGGGAAACGGGAAGGCGGGAGGAAAAAGATGCGCACGGTTCGCGGGCCGCTCGTGGTCGGCGAGAGCGAGTCGGGCTGACAGGATACACGGGGGCGAATTCAATGCGTCCGATCCGTACGCGACGGTCAATCTTCGCCGACGAAAACCGATCCTGACCGGAGCCCGGTTATGCACGCCGGTAAAAAGGTCGTATTTACGGTTCGTAAACAATGCATTTCGTACGTTCCCGTACGTTACCCCCCCCCCCCGTTGATTACGAAAACCCCCGGGGACGGGGGACGGGGGTTGTTTGTACAGCGGACCGCGACGGGATCGTTTGTTCGTTTATGCTGTTGTTGTTCGCCGGTGTTTTTTAGTTTTTTAATTTTTTTCGTATTTTCATATCGACGCCGTCCAATGAAATTACAAATGTACAAAAGACAATAACGCAATAACGGAATAATAATATAAAAATTTTATTTCAACCGCGCGGCAAACGCATCGTTACGCGTCATCACGACGACGACGACGACGGCCGCGTACGTAATCATATAATCATATAATAATAATAATAATAATAATAATAATAATAATAATAATATTATAAAATATGTAATAATAAAATATAGTAGAAAAAAAAAAAAAAAAACAATAACAATGTATCCGTATAGTAATAATCGTAATAATATTACGGCGGACGTATCGCGATTCACGGTACGTGCTAAATGTATATATATATATATTAATGTATATACTAAAAAAAAAAAAAAAAAAATAACCGTATAGTTAGAGAAAAAAATAAAAATAAAAATAAAATGAACCGCGCACTGATGCTCTAAGCGTGCGTACGCGACGGAAACAATAATTTATTGCGGGATAAAACGCCGCGATACACGGTATAATAATAATAATAATAATAATAATAATGATAATAATTATAATAATGATAATAATTATAATATTAATCGTGAGTTAAACGATAATAAACGATAACCGTGCGAAACGCGATGGACGATGTTGTCGTACGGCGTTTCTGCGTTTTCCCGCGGCGAAAAATAAATTAAAAATAAATACACCCGCGAGCGCGCGCGCAAGAACGTGTTTGTTGTCGTATCGGTCGTAACGGCGACGAACAATAATAACAACAACGACAACAACAACGACGACAACAACGACAATAACAATAACAATAATAATAATATATACGACAGGAAAAAAAAAAATACCTAACAAAACAAAACGATACGACGGTCGACGGTAATAACGACGTTATCGGTACGGAAAACACCGTACCGCACGCGGTGCTCGTCGTTTTTACCGTCGCGACGGCGCGCGCGGACGGACGGACGGACGGACGGACGGACGTACGCGGGGGGGGGGGGGGGGGGGGCGGGGGGGGGGGGGGGGGGGGGGGTGCGTGAAGTGGTCGAGGGGAGCGGGCGCGCGTCAACGCCGACAACGACGATCGATAACGCCGTCGATAACGATTCGGCGCAACGGTCAACGGCGGTTAGCGTGTTGAGCGCGCGCGCGCCAGCGTATTTCCCCCCCCCCCCCCCCCCCGCCCGCCCCCTCCACCGCGGGCAATAATTTCCCGAAACTTTCCGACACCCGCGACCGACCGACCGACCCCCACCCCCTCACCGACCCGCCGCGCCGCGGCCGTCCGACGGCCGCTCGTCTTCCGTTGTCAACGGCGGCAATGATAACGGCGACGACGTTGCGCGGCGTCCGTCGACCGTCGGCCCGCACCGGCGCGCCGCCCGAACGAATTATCGTCGCGCGGTTTCCCCCCTCCCCGCCCCCGCGCGCCTTTAAAAACCGACGCGATACCGTGGCGCGCGCGTTCGGACGGATCGCCGATGCGTCGCGCGTAGCCGGCCCGGTTCCCGCGCGTTCCCGTCGTTCGATCGGTGACAGTGGGATTTCCCGCTGCGTGTCCGGTCCCGGAGTCTTCGGGGCGGAACGCGAAACGGGCAGGAGGGAAAAAGAAAAAAAAAACCCCCGACGCAATAAGATCACGGCGAGCGACCTGGTGGTGGGAGGACGAGGGGGGGAGGGGGGAAGAAGAAGAAGAACGGCCGCGTTGAAAAAAAAAGAGAAAAAACGTTCGCGCGTCATCACCTTGCTCAACGACAATAACGGCGCGGCGAGTGTCGCGGCGGAATCGTCACCGGTCATTACCGCGCGGTTACGGTAACGGCGTTCGTATCGTCGGGAGCGAACGAAAGAACCGGAGCAACGTGTCAACGGCGATGATTGTTAGAAGTTTATTTGCGGATGTGCGCGCCGCCGCCGTTCGTCCCGGTGTTTTCGGAGCGGTGCGTACCTGGCGACGGGAAAAAAAAATTTAAAAAATAGGTAAATCTGTTGACATCGTTATCGGCCGTATCGTTTTCTGCCGGTTATCGTGATGTGCACGCGTACGATTACGCCGATGTTATTATGTACAGGGCGTACGCGACAAAAATATCGTCCGACATATTAATCGCTATCGTGTTGCGCGGTGGGCGACGACCAAGACTCGCGTGAAAAAAAAAAAAAATAATAATAAAATAAACTACGATAGGTAATAGTAATAATAATATTAATAATGATAAAAAAAAAATATATATATATATATGTATGTAACGTCGTCTCGAAGCGACCGAACATAATACAATTATAGTAGAATAATAATAATAATAATAAATCATTGTAATTCGTAATAAATTAATAATTCTACGTAATAACAATTCATAATAATAATAAAAATATGTGTGGATTCATTATTCATATGATATAATTTATCTAATATAGAATATATGTATATATTATGAGAATGATTTCGTTTTTTTGTTTTTTTTTTTTGTGTTTTTTTTTTCTTGTCTTGTTGTCTTGTTGTCGTATGCGTGTAAAACATCTCGCGTATTCCCAAAACGAATAACAACGACTGCGCTGTCGCACCTCGTACCTGTGTGCTGTGTGTGTGTGTGTGTGTGTGTGTGTGTATGTATGTGTGTGTGTGTGTGTGTGTGTGTGTGTTTGTACCGCCGCGTGACGACCGGCCAATCCCTCGTCAATTGACCGCGACGGTCGTAGACTGAGCGGCGGCCGAGGCGGGGCCCGACGACGCAGACTTCCTGGACGACAGCATGTTCTTCAGGCTGGCCACCTCGGACGCGAGCCTGGCCACCTCGGACTTGAGCCGGCTGTCGTCCGGGCCGACGCCGGCCACCTCGGCGGTGGCCGTGGCCGTGCCGCCGTCGGCGGTCGGCCCGGTGGCGTGGACGGCGCCCTCGTCGGCCGGCTCGCACCGGGCCGCGGGCGACTGCATGGCCACGGCCCGCGGGGCCGTGGACGCCGTGGTCGGGCACCCGGCGGCCATGGCCGCGGCGGCCACGGACGACGGTCTGACGCCCCACTCGGCGCCCAGGCTGATGCCGGAGTCGCGCTCGTCGCTGCTGCCCTCCGCGTCCCACGGCGGGCTGGCGCGGCTGCTGATGCCCGGTTCCTGTTTGATGGCCTGCAGCGACAGCAGAGCCGTGGCCGCCATGTCCTTGTCGCCCAGATGCGTCTTGTGCCGGAGTTTGTGGGGCAGGCAGTTGCCGCTGCCGTTGCCGTGCCCGTTGTTGTTACCGCCGTTGCCGATGATGCTGTTGCCGTTGACGGCGTTGACGCCGTTGCCCGCGCCCACGATGCTGATCAGGCCGTTCCCGTTGAGGTGATGGTGTTGTAAGTGGTGCTGCTGGTGATGGTGATGGTGGTGACCGACCATGACGGCGCCGGGACCGGCGCCCCCGGCCGCGGCGGCCGCGGCCGCCGCGACAAACGCCAGCGATATTGGCACGCACGACGACGAAGTGTCGTCGCCGCTGCCGCTGCTCAGCTCGTACGGGGACGGCGGTCGGCGGCTGAGGTTCAGCACGCTGTTGGCGGCCGCCTCGAACGAGGGCGGTTGCAGGGCCGGCAGCACCGGCGCGAACGGATACGGCGGGTACCCGGCTTGGGCGGCGGCGGCCACGGCGGCCACGGCGGCCGCGGACATGGACAGACCGGCCACGCCGCCGTTGCCGCGGTCGGCTTGGTGCTGCTGCTGCTGCTGCTGCTGCTGTTGATGCTGCTGCTGTTGGTGTTGCTGTTGTTGCTGCTGCTGTTGGTGCTGTTGCTGTTGCTGTTGCTGTTGGTGTTGTTGCTGCTGCTGCTGCTGCTGCTGCTGCTGTTCCATACCGGGGCTACCGCATTCGGACTGTCCGTAGTACGACGAGCCGTTCATCTTGGGCGTGGTCGACTGGACGGGCTGGTGTATGACCGAAGTGGGTATCGGGCCACCGCCGCCGCCGCCGCCGTTCTGCGAGTAACTGGCCGACGACGTGGACGACGACAGTTTCGGGCGTTTCGTGATGCTCAACACTTGTTCGTTTGTCGGCAAAGAGGCCATTACCTGTAACGTGCAACAGAACAAAAAGAGAACACCGTTAGTATTGTACACGACGTTTCACACGTAACACTTTATTTTTTTATTTTTATTTTCTTATCGATTAGATTATGTTTATTTTTTATTTTTCATTGTCGGTTCGCTCGTCCCACGTGTACAATAGCAATAATATGTGTCAGTGTAGCGCGCGTGAGCCGTCACGTATCACTCTGCGCGCACATACGTTGCCGCGTCTCGCGGGATACGTGATGTGCGCGCCGACACGACCATAACAATAAAATACGTACGATATGTAAAACGGAGCGCGTACGCGCCGTCGATAACCGACGGCAGCCCGTAACCGTTAAATTCCCGCACCCCTCCCCCCCCTCGCCGGCCCACGGCCGCCCCGAGATACGTGACCCAGCCTAACCCGACCTATCCCGGGCGGGAGACGACGGCCGGGAAGGCGATGGGGCGGCCAGGGGAAACGGCCGAAAAAAAAACGGCTCGTTCGGAAAGGGTACCGGTATTCTTCTCGGTTTTTCGCCCAGCCAGCCTCTCTACCTCCCCCCCCCCACACCACCCACTTCCCCACCGGAGCGATTCGACCGACGGAGGAATGATAATCGACCGACAATGATATAATAATACTGCGCGTAAGGCGTATACATCATACGTATACGCGCGAAATTCGACTTTAAACAATTTTTTTTTTTTTTTTTTTACCGCGTGAGAAATCGTATTTTTTTTCCCCCGTCGGTTTTTTCGGCGCGGACAATGAGCGGAATATACGTGTGTTTTTTTTTTCTCTCGCAAACGGCGCAGACACGCCGACACGGTCGCTTGCATTCGTCGTGTCGAAAAAAAACAAAAAAAAAAAAACCGCTTAATTTGACGACCTTATTGTGCGCTATACAAACGACTATAGGAGGTTGGTATATTATTATACGTACGCACCTTGGAAATATCGTGCGCGGACACGGTGTTCCCCTTCCTCGGGCCCCTCCCACCCCCCATCACCGCCATTTATTTCTCGCCGGGTTACCCGCAGATATTAGTTATTATTTTCGAAACCGCACGTAACGGCGTCCCAGTCTATCGATATTGTCCCAACGATAATATGGAAAATTTTAAAATAATTAACAAATAATAGAATACTATCAATCATGTCTGAGTGCGAAAACATTTTTATATCTATAAAGAGCTTTCTTCCAAGGACAATGGGAATATTTCAATTTTCGGAGATTTATTTTTAAAAAGACGTCCATGGATAACGGGGACGGGTGCAACCATTGTACACCAGATGTACGCTGTTATACACCTGTAAGCAACGATAAGCCATTGCTTACGAAAAAACGATTCCGAGCGGAGTTCGGTTGATTTAGTGTAGTTGCTTTGTCAACAATACATACGTTATATTAAGGTAAAATAATTAAATAGGCATTCTATATATTTTCATTAACAATATTTTATTGATGTACCGATTTTCCTCAGTTTTTTTTTTCGATTTTTCACATCAATTGAGAAAACTCCTGGGAAAATGGCCTCTTTTAAAGTACCTCCCCACACAAATTTCCTGTCAGAAAAGGTGCTACACTTGAGAATTGGCGCAAGATCCCTGGTAGAAAAGTTGTCCACATCGTTCATCTTTTTCGCTTTAATAAATATTTATTTAAAAAAAAAAAACACACAATTGACCGGTCGACTAATGTACACGCGCGACACGAGCACCGCCTAAAGATTTTGATTTCCTTCTCACAGTTCGTTTCGAATACCCAATAATGAACGCGAGAACGTCGCGTAAATCAAACGCAAATCGAACGGATTAAAATAATATGACATTTTGTCGTCGGATTCTCGACTGTGATTGCCACCGCACGACACGTCACTTCCTTCTCGAAACCAATCCCCCTCACCCCCACCGGTCGCCCACGAAATACGCGCGAGACGATCTGTCGCGTCGTTTAATGTAACGGCCACGTGTTCGGTGCGTGTGAGCGTTTGTCTAATTTAGGCCAATAATAGTAAATTTAATAATATTACACGGTGACGTCACTATGCTCGTATATTATAATATAAGCACAGCGCGGGAGAAAAAAACCAGCGTACTTCCGGTCGGTGATTCGACGCGCGTTTATCTCGCACGTAGTCGAGTTATAATGAAATTATTACGATTGTTCGCGGCTGATTCGTTTAAAAATATATAAAATAATATTGCAATGGGAATGACGACGAAACCGTGTGAAATCCACGGGGTTCGACGCGGCCACATATTGGTTGAAGGTATAGCAATAATTGTGCGGATTATTTGATTTTTTTTTTTTTGATATGAGAGAGGAAGAGGGGGTTTTCGATTGTTTGTACAATAGTGATACGGGGGTGAACTGAAGGGCCCGGTGCGGTGACACGGCGAGTCCTAAAAATTACTTTCTCGACGGTTTCGGGTAAAGCAACACGAAAATATAATGACAGAGAAGCGCTCTTGCTGGTTAAACGAAACCGCTCTCGGCAGAAACGATTTCGAAAAGTGCACTTGTCTCGCGGTCGCGCCGAGCCGTTTATTCCGTCCCGAAAAATTCGTATCGGGGGGAAGGGGGCGATATTTAAAAAAAAAATAAAAAAACCAAAATATTATCATTACCTGTTCGACGCTGACCACGGCCTCGCCGCTGATGCCGAACTTATCCTTGATGGCCGTCAGCTGCGCCTTGAGCACGTGGTTTTCTTTGCTCAGTTCGACAACCCTTTGCTCGAGGATCATGTCGTTGAACCTCCTCTTCTCCCGGGACCTCTTGGCTGCCTCGTTGTTCCGCCGCCTCCGGTCCCAGTAGCTCTCGTCCTTTTTGTTGTCCGGTATGAACTCCCTCTGTTTGCGTTGCGCGAAAAACTCTTTGCGCTGCAGGTGCGACGACAGGTCGAACCCCGGCGGGTACGGTTCTCCGGGACCCGGGGACTCGGGACCGGGCGACACCGAATCGTCGTACCTCATGCTTCCCGACTGTTCCATGTCACTGCAGTACTGCGGCATATTGTCTCGATGGCTACCACCGTCGCCGCCACCAACACCTCCGCCGTTCTGTTGCTGGTGTTGGAGTTGCTGCTGCTGTTGCTGGTACAGTTGTTGTTGCTGCTGCTGCTGCTGCTGGTGTATGTGCTGCTGCTGCTGCAGGTGGTTGTGAAGGATTCCGGCGGTTTTCTGATGGACGTTTTGCTGTTGCTGATGGCGCTGCTGATGCTGTTGTTGTTGTTGTTGGTTGCTCTTCTGTTGATGATAACTGTTGGCCGTGTCCGCTACCATTTCTCGATCTGAAACCGAAAAATCGACCCGGAAATCAGTTTCACCGGACGCACAACAAGGAACCGCGGATTCCGACGGCGAACGTGCCCCGACGTAAACGAGAGAATCCTGAGCGCGTCGCCGCCGGGTCGCGGGACACCGGGCGGCCACTCCGGGGGAACAAAACGTACGCGCGCGGCGTACTACCCAAGAAGCGTTTGTTCGTGGCACGCGCGCGCTGGCGGTTGTCGTCGGCGACGAGACCGGATCGGCACTGTGTTAATCCGCGGCCGCGCGTAATCGAGAACGCGGCAATAACGCGGCGCGCGTAATAACAATCGCACGGATGCGGGAGGGGGGGGGGAGGAGCCCTCGTAAGGTTTTTACCGGGCCACCTACTCCTCTCCGCCGCACCCGTCCGCGCCCCGCGCCACCGGCGAATCCCGCGCGACGTCCCGCGGAGGACCGGAGGATCCGTTTTTTTTACGACGCGTACGCGACGTGTGCGCGTTCGGTGACGCAACGGGCTAGCGCGGCGACAACACCGCCGCCGTAGCGAACGGCGCTGACGTGTTGACGACGACGATAATAATAATAATAACGCGCGCGTGGACGAGGCGTCTCTGCCGCTTATGTAATACGCGTATTTTCGACGAGGATTTAACCTTGGGAAATGAGAAAAAAAAAAAAAAAAAATACGAAAAAAAAAAACATTTTATTACGCGCTCGCCAAACGGCCGCGGAGGCGGAATTCCGAGGTGCGCGCGTGACCGTTTCGCAATACGGACGCACGCGCGCCGCCAAAATAACGCGTCGCCTCGCCCCGGTCGACCGACCGCGTCGTCCGGGGCACCGGTTTTTTTTTTTTTCCGCGTAATTAATTATCGTCTTCGTTTTTCGTTTTCATCCCGTCCGGGCGAAAGACGCGCGCGTGGCGCTGCCCGCGCTGCACGCCGTCCGCCCGACCACTTTCTGCAGTGGGGGGGGGCGGAGGTAGGAGGGGACAGCGCTAAAATCGCGAACGCCGTGTCGCCACGATAAGCGGCCGAGCGGTTCGTTTACCGATTTCGCACGACTGTGCTGAAACGTTCGCGTTATAAAGACGCCGTTACGTTTACCGGAAAAGGCTTTTAAGTGGGAAGGGGGGGTGATGATAAGGGGGCGATTCACGCGGTCGTCGCGCGGGCGTTGCCGACCCGACGAGCCTCCCGGAGCCGGCCGGCGCTTTGGCCGTTCCGGCGTTTTCATTTCTTTTCCGTACTTTTTCGTCCGTCACTCCGCCGACCCCCGACACAACGCGACGCGCGTCGTAATAAATTCCCAGCCTATCCGTCGTGTACTGTCGGATTCGTCCGCGGTCTGAAATGTCGTTTTTTTTTTTTTTTAATAAAAAAAATGTATACGAGCGAATACGGTTCGCGTTTCAACGTGGCCGTAACGATCAATCAAAATACGATTTCGCGCATTTGCGCCGGCCGGCGTCGTACACGCGCGCCGCCGTTATTAATTCGACCTTTTTTTTTTTTTTTCTATAAAAATACCGTCGAGGTGAACGGAACAATCCGGGTAACGAGAGACTGCACATAGCGCGTACGCCGTCGCGGGCCGAAAATACCGCGCCGCGCCAAATCCGAACGTCCCGCGGCACGTTTCGTTCGGGTCGGGCCGGCCGTGACGTTTTATTTATTTATTTTTTTTTTCCGGCTTCCCCGCGACCGAATTGTTTTTAAAAATAACCGTCTAAAAATAATGTTCGGAAAAAAAAAAAAAAAAACATTTAAAAATTAAAATACAAACGACTTCCCCGTCGGTCGTCCCGGGACTTCGGATCGCGTCGCGTCGTGCCGCGATACGGTTCTCCGACTACCTACACCACGCTACCCAACCCACTCGGCTGTTCAATTACCAATAGAAACTGTTAGCTTTAATTTTTTTTGTTTTTTTTTAATTAATGTACACGATACAGCATAATCGAGCGGTAATCAGTTACGTTCGCCATAATGATAATTGATACCGAAACGAATTCCGGTCAATGACTTGCCGAATTCAATAGTTTCCGCGATTGCGATCCGATCGAGCGTATTTGCGGCGTTGAAATACCGCAGTCCGAGTTTATAAATCTACGCGTGTTTGTCGACAGAAATAATTTACGAAAAACGTTTCATTAATTGTTTCCGTGACCATTACACTACACGCGTAGTCTAAAACCGAACAATTATCATATTGCGTCTCTATTGCTTGGCTTCAAAATTGTCGTCCACGCGATAGGAGTCTGCGCAATAGCATTTCCGAAAAGAGCACCGGTTAACCTGCGACGGGGTGCGACGGGGGGGGGGCGGGGGAGGAGAGGTCCCTTACTCGCTTGAGAGGTACCCGGGTGATCGTCCGCTCGAACGACCCGAACAATATCCGTTTACGCAACCGCCGGTCGGCGGTTGTTTCGAAATCGAAACCAGAACCGCGCACTCAATCATCCTGGACGATAACGATACCGATAAAGTGCACCGCAGAAACGTGTTTTTACCGTGTCCGCTCTACACGCGGGGCGCGCGAGTCCGATGTCTTTACCGTCGGTTTCGATGCCTCCCCAAACTCTGGGAAAACTACACCCCGCCTCGAGAACAGCCCGCAGTCCGAGAGCGTTTGCGGGGCGCGCTCAGGCGGAGGGATCAGAGAGCCGGAAATCCGGCCCCCGGCGAGCTCTGATAGGGGAGCGGAGTGGGGTTCCCCGGGAAAACAAAAAAAAACCTATTAAACGCTTGTTGACCATAAAATAACAATGCGAAAACAAAATGTTATTGAAATCGGTCGGTAATACTCGTAAATAAATATGTAAATACAAAACGTGCACGTGCACGAGAATAAGAAAAATAAATAATCGGATAAATGCGTCGCCCGGAGTATTACGCACAAGTGTACTCCACATAATACGAGCGGTTTCGAATTGAGAATTCGTCGTCACCGGGTACATCACGGTCGGAATGTAAAACGGAATATGGAACACTGAACGGTGGAGAGAAAACGCGGAGAGGAAAACACATTACGCGAATTGGCCGTTTTACATAGAAATAATCCGTTTCGGTTGGAGCGAGATTATTTAAAATAGGCCGTTTATGCGGCACGCGAACTACTGACCGTCGGGAATGTTCAAAACGTCGATTATCGATAAATGAGAGACGATAACAGGCCGTCGCGGTGCATGATGCTGTCGACGGCCCCCGGCCCACCTCCCCCGGGACTTTTAATTTCGTATTGCACTCAATATGACATTGCGATTGTACCGGATTACGGTAATAGTATTTATTATTGAACGATAACAGGCTCGCGGACGGTGTCGCAACAGTCGGCCCGGTACTGCGCGCCCCGTGCCCCGGGAATAGGACACGCTCGCCGCACAACCGTCACGGTAAACCGAAAGACAATGGATGTTTTTATTGCGTTTTTGAAAATTAGAAAAAAAAAAACAGAAAACAAAATGGCGTTGCGGGTTTTCGCGCGTTTGTCGAGCCGTCGCGGTCCCGTCGGACCGGACGGCTCGGTCGGCGGTACGAACGCCGCGAACGATTCGTACCGCGCGTGATCGACGGGAAGATCCCGGGCACCCGGAAACGGAAGACCCGTGTGCAACGGTGGTACTCCGGACGCAGTCGCCGTAGCGGTTTCGCGGGGATATTTCGACAGGGATTGTCGACCACAGCCGCGGTTTATCGTGCCCGGTCGGGGGACGAGAAAAACCAGCAGACGTCCCGATATAAAATGCCGCGCGCCCTTTCCGGCCGCCATCCGGTCCGCTGTTCGGAAGTTGCCGTCGATGACGTTTTGTACGCGTTTGTGTTTCTGAGACTGTTTCGCTGTCGGCTCGTGGGCAAACGCACGTCCGAGAGAAATCCGAGAGAGATAAACCGCCGTGTTCGATTGTGCGCGGCCGAAACAGAAACAGCGGCGGAACCGCTGGTATCGGAAAACGGAAAAGCGCCCGGAGGATTTAATAGTCGCGGATATCCGGAAATCGGCCGCGGCAGTGGGCGATCCGTCCCGTGTCCCCTTCGGATACTCATTTGCGTAAAGTACAATATTTTATATAAATCCGGTAGATTCGACGGTGATTAGCGGCGGACACTTTACGCAAAGGGGCGCGACGAAGAAAACGCTGCGCCCACGCAGGCGAACGGTATTGCCCCGCCTAACGCAGACCACGAGTACGCTTCAACTCCGGGCAATAACTTTTCACACCCGACAACAAGAAGAGACGATACCGGAAGGGCTATGCGATGTGACACGCCACTGCGGGAGACGCTGTGCGCGAAAATACGGGGTGGCGCCTCCGGTCGTTTTCAGCCGTTGTCCGCCGTTATCAGAGCTGGATCAAAGACATTTTTCTGCTATCCGAAAAACGGACTCGCCGGCACACTTCCGCGGCGTTCCGCGGATAAGAGGAAAAAATGATAATAATAATAAAAAAAAAAAAAAAAACCCGCGTAATCGTTAGCGCACGCTTTTTCGTTGTAACGATAAATTATTGTGGTTTTGAAATCGTCCGATGACATTGTTGAATTTCGCGCGTCGTAAAAAAAAAACCCGCAACGGCCTTGGGATATTGTGTGCGTTACGACTCGGATTAGGCAAAAAAAAAAAAAAAAATTAAAAATAAACGCGCTGCCAAACGCCGCCGCCAGTGTTTTCGTACGTACTATGAGATAATCGTCGTCGTGTCGGGCGTGTTTTGTTATTTTTTTTTTTTTTTTTTTTTTTTT